GGGCTTTCTTTCTATACTATAAAACAGCTTTTATCTTGAGAGGATGTCTTCCTTATTTTACTGGCTCTGTAAACAGTTCAAGGATTGCTCCACGCTTGCTGTGTTTCCAAAGCTGCTGTTCGAGATGAAAGCTCAGATTTATTCAGCGTGAGAAGTTGCCGTCTGATACGGGGAGGAAATGTGTTCATTATTGCTATTACATACTGTTCAGTGATAAGAAAGTTGGCTCAAATTCTCAAGTTGCTACTTTGTTAGCTTTTTAGGGTTAGTACTCACATTCTTACCTCAAATCAAAATAAAATGTAAAAACTCCACCTATTTTAGAGCAGAAAGAGCTACATCATCTTAGCACCTTTGACAATTATGAAAGGATGTATCATAATAAAACCTGTAACATCTTACAGGCTCTAAGATATTTTATGATTTTCAAAACACATACTTTTCCTTAACTGGTTTAGATTCTAGAGTATCTGGCAGATGCCAATTATATATAAGACTCCTGAGTTATTATTTTTAAGTGAACTATTTTTATAATATGCAGACATTATGACAGTAATACATACTTATCAGAGAAAATTTGGAAATGCAGAAGGGTAGAATGATAAAGAAAAATACATGAATATTTCAATAGGCTTGCTGCCTTAAAACAACCACTCATTACATTTTCATGTATACCGTTTTCCTTTTTGTCATGAGTATTATATGATTATTTCATATTAGTTGATACAATTTTATATTCTGTGTTTTTTTTTTTATATTACTGTAAAACTCTAGCAGTTATCTTTTACCACCTCAAAACTCAGAGGATTGAAATAAGAACCATTTATCATTGCTAAGGAGTCCAGGGCTAGCTGGATGTTTCTTCAGTCTCTGGTCTCATCTGGGTTTGCTCATGGGTCTGTCATCAGGTGATCTTTGCTGGGCAATCTCATTGTTTGGGGGTTCACAGCTCTCCTACACTTAGTCTCCCATCCTCCAGGAGGCCAGCCTGGGCTTGTGTGCATGGTGGTGGCAAGATTCCAAGAGAGAGAGCGGAAGCACGAGGGGTTTAGGTGCAGAACTGGCACTTCGTTATTGCCACCGCAGTTACTGCCAGTGCAAGTCATAAGGCCAGCCTGGATTCAAGGGCTGGGAGGTAGCTTCCATGGCTCCATGGGAAGGGGCTTCCTAGTCATGTGCAATGGTCAGGGATAGAGGGAAAAGTGAAGAACTGTACCTAGAGTTTGCAACGCATCTCCCGTAATAACATAGGCACTCTTCTGTGTTATTTCGAAGACATTTTTAATGACTTTACAGTATTATATTAAGTTGCACCATCATGGATAATTTAAGCATTCCCGAATTTTAAGAAACTCAGGATTTTCCATTTAGTTTGCTGAGGCATAAGAGTTTTATGGAGAGAAAACTTTTCTATTTGGGGTTATTAAAAAAAATCCTAATATAGAATCACAGAAGTTAACATATTGTTTAAAAGTTTATAAATATTTTTATTGTTTTTCCTCCATTTTCCAAAGCATTTTGCAAGAGGCTCATTCCAATTCAAATTCTCATCAGTGGTGTGTGAGTGCTCATTTCACTGCCCCGCCACCAGTGTTGAATAGCTGGGAAAAAATCTCTGCTGATACGTATAAGGAACCTCCCCACCCCCCAGCATTTTGTTGATATAATTGCTAATAAAGGTAAGGTAACATGTTTATCTGTATTGTTGAGTTGGTGTTTCTTTAATTAGTTTGATCACAGAACACTCATTTTTTTGTATAGCATCAATTAATGCCTTGTAGCAACTGTTTTGAGTGGAACATTCTTGAGGAATTGCTGCCTTAATAAAATATAGTAGTTTTTCCTCATGGTGGGAATTTCAGACACCATAGAAAGGAAGGAGGGTTTCTAGATACAGCTGGGGCTTTTGCTCATTCCTAAAATCATACTGAACTTCATGAAAAAGAAACGAAACTTGTCAATGAAAATATTCAACTTCTCTTTCTTCCCAATCAGTTTCCTTGCAGTGATGACCCCAAAAGCTCTCAGGCTTTGTTTTAAGGGATGCATTCTTCCCTGGAAGTATTATGCTGTTCTTTTTCTCCTCTTCATATTTGCAGAATAAAACATGTCTGACTAGTGGCCTAAGGGGCTGGCCCTTTTCTGGGACTTTGTTGCTCTGGGTGTGGACCAGCAGTATCTGCACTGGGTGGGAGCTTGGTAACAGTGCCAGGGGTCTCAGGCTTGCACCCAGACTTCCTGAATCGTAGTCCGCATTTTAATAAAATGTCCTGGTGATTCACATGCACATTAAGGGGTAGAAGCTCTGATCCAGTGGATGCCTGGCTAATCTAAAGGACCTGCATCTTCCTCCTGACCGTTACTTTCAAATTCAGTCACCATCACCTTGCACTGCGAAGAGTTACTGAGTGTATAGTTTTCTCACCCAGTTTAAACTCTGGCCCATGTGTGGTCACAAGCCCATTCTCCTGGTTCCTTTAAGCTTAGATCAACCAACAAGAATTAAAGCAAACAAACAAAATATACCAAGTACAGAGGCAGAGAAAAAGAAACAAATAAAAAAAGGAAAAACAAAAAAACAAGGATGAAACCTAGTCTGGGAGGAATGATGCAGTTTTCTGTTCCTGTCCCAACCCTTGTTCTTCTCTTGGGTTCCAGATCCACAAGCTTTGATCCATTCCTAATTCCATCTTGGGAGCTTCACCTTCTAGTTCCAAACAGCTGGTACAGCAGCCCAGCCCTCTCTTGTGTCCTGGCTCTCTAGTTCTCTTGCTCACTGGCACCCCGTCACTACCTTACCCTGAGATAGGGAGATAGGCCTGAGATATCTTGATTATTCTGTGGTCAAGAACTAGAGAGCTGGGTCACCCAGGACAGGAGACTATCCTAGGCTCTGTCTACTTTCTGATTTCTTGTCTCCTTCCCAGAATATTCATATCCAGCATTTCCTCCGCCCTGCTTTCCTTTAAAGGGACTTGGTCTCAACCCAACTTACAGGGCAATGACTTTATTGTGGCAGGCTCCTCAGTCTGATCATGGCATGACACCAGGCAGCACATTCAAGAATCAAATGCATTTGCAACATAGGGTCATTTCTTAATAGTTTCTGGGCTAAGGGTCATTAGCATGAGGATAAAGACTACAGTCATGCGCTACTTAGTAACTGGGATATGTTCTGAGAAATGCGTCGTTAGCGGTTTCATCATTGTGTGAACGTCATAGAGCGTACTTACACAAACTTAGATGGCATAGCCTACTACACACCTAGGCTATATGGTACTAAGCTTATGGGACCACTGTTGTACATGCAGTCTGTCATTTACTGAAACGTTGTTATACAGCACGCAACGGTACTTGGGGATGGAAGCCACTCAGAGTTATAAAGCACCAAGTAATGGCTTTTCACTGAGTCTCTCACTAAAGCACTATCCAGAATTAGTTAAAAGCATGGGTCAGAAGGAGACTTCCTTTTTCTGCCAAGCTGTATGACCTTGGACAAATTACCGACCCTTTCTGTACCATGTCTTACTCATCTGTAAAAAGAAGATAAAGGTAATTCCTGTTTCTCAGAGCCAGGATTGGCTGCAAAATTTGCAAGGCCTAGTACTAATTGAAAGTGTTAGGCCCCTTGTTCAAAAGTTATTGAGAATTTCAAGATGGTCCTTCTGAGCTCAGGGCCCTGGGCAACATAAATCTGTCCCTCCTGGAGTGTTAAGATAATTGCTGTGCCTAGGATAGGACAAGAATTTAGTAAGTTCCAGTTATTCATAAAGCTTTGAGAGGTGTCTATTATTTACCCTGTTTTACAAATGAAAGAACTGAGGATCTGAAAAGTAAAACTACTTACCCAACGAGGTCAGACAGCTGAGTGGCTGAGCCATGAGTCGGCCTGGGTCTGCTTCCAAAGCGAGTGAGCATAAATCCCCGAGAGAAGGAGCACAGGTGAGAGGAAAGGAACTTGTCCCTGTCCCATAGGAGGTGAAGAGAGCCAGGGAATCCACCCACTCCCCTCGCTGTCAAGGGCCAGCAAAGAGAGAGTTGCACGTCTTATTTCTGTGGCACCTGAGGAATTTTACTACGTTAAAAGCAGGCCTGAGTGCCTTTGACTCAGGTTGGGCTGTTTGTGAGATCCCAGCAGAACTTTTGTCTTATTTTGGTCAGAAACTTAAGACTGAGCACCATTTCTCAGGCCTGTGGTTTCCTAAGTCCCTGAATGACTCCCTCCTAAGTGGAGAACCTGGTTCCTTCCTCTGCTCCACCCGTCTGGCAGGAATCTTTCCTTTCTTTGGGCTGCAATGTTTCCTGGCCTCCAAAGAGTGACGAATGATCTGAAAAACTCCTTTCAGTTCTGCTGCCAGAAATCTGGCTGATTAGCTGGGTTGAGAATAATTGCATGTCCAACCAGGAGCCCTGGAGAAGGTGATGTGTAAGGAGCCAGCATACGCAGGGTGTCTGGCACAGTTCCCTTCCACATGGTGGGGGTGCACTCAACAAATACACATCAATTGTTTGGTCTAGAAAATGTGTTAGACACTTTACACATGAGCTCTTTTAATTCTCCTAATATCGCTGAGGGGCAGGCATGACCATTTCCACCTTACAGATGAGGAAACAAAGGTCAAAGAGTATAGTCACATTCCTTAAGTCACACAAGCTAGAAAGGGGTGGAGTCAGGTGTGAATCAGGCCTCTCTGGGCATTTCACACCACACCTTACCATACCATATCATTCCATGCCATACTTAAACTTTTAACCACTGTATAGGGAGCATTTACAATTGGGATGGTCAATTTTATGTCAACTTGACTGAGCCGTGGAATGCCCAGAGGTTTGATCAAATATTCAGAGTTCCTGGGTGAGATTAACATTTAAATTAGTAGCCTGAGTAAAGCACATTCCCTTCCTTAATGTGGGTGGGCCTCATCCAATGAGTTGAAGGCCTGAATAAAACAAAAAGGCTTACCTTCCCTCAAGTAAAAGATAATTTTTTCTGCCTTCAGGTTTGAACTGAAACATTAGTTCTTCCTGGGTCTCAAGCCTGTGGGCCTCCAGACTGGAAGTACACCGTTGGCTCTCCTGGGTCTCCAGCTTGCCAATTTACCCTGCGGATCTTGGGATTTGCCAGCTGCCATAATTTTGTAAGCCAATTTCTCATATATATATATATATATATATATATATATATATATGTATATGTAGCCTATATCCTATCGGTTCTGTTTCTCTACTTCTCTAATATAATGATATTCTAGGAATTGTGCTTAGCACTTTAGAAATACAGGGACACAGCAAAGACAAGAAAGCAGAGTCTTTGTTTTCAATATGCTCACAGTGCAGGCAAGCAACTTGACAGCACAGCCGCTGTACTGCTGTTGAGGTATGAGAAGAGACTGACGGGACAGAGGAGCTAGGAGATGAGATTTTAGGCAGAAGGACTAGTGAATGTGAAGGCAGTGAGTCGAAAGGGCATAACCTGGTTTGGGGAATTTGTAAAAAAATCCTGAAAGGATGAAATTGCCAGAGTATCTGTGAGGTTCCAGTCAGGAAAACAGAAATCACATTAATTATTTTAACAACAAGCATCCACTGTGGAGGACTGTTTAAAGCAGGTACTGGAGGGCTAGGGAAGTAAACAGGATGGCCAAGACAGTGCAGGTGGTCAGTGTAGGAAGCAGCAATCACCCCTAGGCCTTGCAGCAGAGGAGAAATTGGGAAAATTAGAAATTAGAAGCTTGAAGGTGTTGGTGAGGAGCTGGGACTCAGAAACTGAAGATAGGTGTTGCCTGGGACCTTCTGGGACCTCTGAGGGGATATAGAAAGTCTGGTTCTGCCAGAAGTGTGCTGGAGCTGGCTGGCAGGGGCTTAGGAGAACCAACTGTTAAATTTCCAGGAATTTTTTGAGCTACTTGGTAAACCTTTAGTAGCTTGAAGTTACCCATGATGGGAGTATTTACACCACAGAAATGGACAAATGCTATAAAACACACTTATTTATTTATTTTGGAGAGTCAATTGTTGTCTGCACATGGCTGGTTCTTGAACAGGGGCTGGAGACTGCAACCAAGGCTGGTTGCTGCTCTGGTGAAGTGCTGTTGCCGGGGTGAAGTGGCAAGTGGGGAGAATCAGCTCCCTGCTTCCTTCTGTGGCTTCTAGCTTCTCTCTAGATTCCCTATTTCGCAGAATCTATAAGCAAGTAATCTGGCAAAGGAGAATTGTGGTTTGCAGAGTCCCAACCCTCATATCCCCAAAAGGAGAATTTAGAAGGGTCTCTTTGGAGCTGAGGGACAATAGCTTAAACACAAAAGGATTCAGCTTTCTGTTCCCTAGGAAGCACTGTTGCATAGTGGTGGTGAAGGGTTCTAGCCTGAAAATAATCCAGATCTTCCAGGGTTCAAACATTGGTTTTGCCACAAACTTAAAGATCTGTGACCTTTAGTGAGATATTTAACCTCTCTTCTCAACTTCCCTCATCTATAAAATGGGGATAATCATAATATCTAGTCATAGAATGGATGAAATGTGATAATGGCTGTAAGATGAGCCTCCTTACCTTCTCCATCAAATCTTTTCTCAAACGTTACCTTTTCAGTAAGGACTTTCCTGATGACTATTTCAAATTGCACCCCCTTTCACCTCTGCACCGAGAACCTGTTATTGCCCTCCCATGAACTATTATTCTCTAACCTTTATCATCTTATAAGTTATAATTTAATTATGTATTTATTTTGTCTATTGTAACTGATATGTAAGCTCCATGAGAGCTGAACGTTTGTTCTATTTTGTTGTCTAGCACATAATTGCTATTCAATAAATATTTATTGCATGAATGAAAAACTTTATCTAGAAAATAATATGCTCAAAGAAATGTTAGTAATCATTAATAAGATGAAAATTATTTTGTTAGTATTTTGGCCTTTTGTAAACACATGCCCCCACAGAACTGAACTCGGTTCCATAAAATGAAATGTTAACCTACTTTGAAAGTCTCTCAAAAGAACTAACTGAGCTAGAATTCCAGGCCCTCAATAGTAGCTTGAAAATTTTAGATTTTTTGACATCTGTTAGATATCTCTCAAAACTGGCCAGTGGATTTACTTGGGATGTGACTAAGGGGAAACATCCTTCTTAGTCCACTTTTCTTTCAGTTGTGAGATGAAAGAAGCAGAAACAGAGCTTTCATGCCTGGAGTGTGCCAGAAAGACACTAGTACCATGTTAATACCCCCAGAGGAAGCTTCCTCATTTGCCCTCTTAAAACTACCATGTAGTAGATTAAAGTCTTAGCATTCCAGAGAGAAAGTGCCATACCTTGTTATATGGTATAGGTAAATTTCTAAAAATGCTACTAACTGGTAGTTCTTTGTGGACCTACTTTAATGAATAAGACTGATTTGTTATTAGCTTAAAGAGGAAACCAACCACCTCCCTAACTTTTACCAAGTGTGTGTATTTCTTCTCTCAGATGGAGGCAACTTGATACACGTTGCCTATGTGGTCAAGGTTTAATATATCTTGATGGTAGGGAACATTTCGACATTTCCAACCAGCCGGGCCGGGTGGATCCTTAGTCAGGAACTAAGAAAGTTACTGCTGGGTGGCTTACGTGGATAATGGCTTTGCTCTTGTATTCCATTCTTGACCCCCACTTGAGGCATCCAGGTGCCTATGAGATCACCTTCAGGTAGTGGTAGTTAAAAACAGGCTCTGTCGCTTGGGGGTAGATGAATGCTAACAGTAATGATGGCTCATGCTGACCGAGCACTCACTATGTGCCAGGCACTCTGGTCAATGTGTGATCTCAACTTTCATAGCAACTCTAAAAGATCAGTAGGCGCTACTGTCACCCTGATTTTACAGATAAGAAAATTGAGGCTTAGAGCAATTAAATGACTTTGCCGGGGTCACACATCTAGTAAGTGAAGGCACTGAGATTTGAATCCTGTGATTCTGACCCCAAAACCATACTCTTAAATGTTTGAACAAACCAGAGCGTTTAGAATCTGTATTTCACTGATGTTAGCTTTCCTTTTGGAAAGTCTTTTAGGAGCAACATTTGAGTCCTGCCTTGGGTGTACACAACACACAGAGGTGAAAGGGCCTTCTGTCCTTCCTTGGGTCACAGCATGAAAGGAGAGCAGCACCCTTGCGACTAGTGCAGTGACAGCAGGGTACTTAGTAAGCTCTTCCTGGGGGAGGCAATGGGTGCACCAGTTACTTAACCTCTCAGTTCTCTTTTCTCATCAGTGAAACTTGTAACAATAGTACTCAACTCATGGGGATATCTTAAAAACTAAATGAGATAATATATGTAAATAACTTAGCACAATGCCTGGAACATGATAAGACCTTAATAAACTTTTAGATGTTACTAAAAAAGTGAGTGGCATTTTCTATTGCATAAGCTACTTCCCTTCACTAAGTCTTCAAACTTCAAGGTGTCACAAACATCTTAGATAATCCCCTACAATAGTATTTTCCAAGATATCTTCTCTGTATCTTGGAGCCAAAATGCTCTGCTCAGCATGAATTCTAGGATCAGAATGGAAATACATTTATGATTTCTCCCTCTGTAAATTAAATGTTCTAAGAGTCTTGCAATAAAAACCTTGTCAAACTTGGTTACATAGCATTATCTGAATGCTTTAAAAAATCATTAAAAAAATTTAAAACTTTATCTTTTTAGAGTTTTAGGTTCACAGCAAAATTAAGAGGAAGGTACAGAAATTCGTCATATACCCCCTACTCCCATGCATAGCCTCTCCCATTATCAACATCCCTCACCAGAGTGGTACCTTTGTTACAGCTGATGAACCTACATTGACACATCATAATCACCCAAAGTCCCTAGTTAACCTTTGGGTTCACTCTAGGTGTTATATATTCTATGGATTTGGAACAAATGTATAATGGCATGAATCCACTACTACAGTGTCATAAAAGAGTATTTTTTACCACTCTGAAAATCCTCTGTCCTCCACCTATTCATCTCTCCCCGCAACACCCCTGGCAGCCACTGATCTTTTTGTTGTCTCCATGGTTTGCCTTGCCCAAAAAGTCATATAGTGGGAATCATACAGTATATAGCCTTTTCAGATTGGCTTCTCTTATTTAGTAATATGCATTTAAGTTTCCTCCATGTCTTTTCATGTCTTAATAGCTCATTTGTTTTCAGTGCTGAATAACATTCCTTTGTCTAGATGTACCACTGTTTATCCGTTCATCTACTGAAAGACATCTTGGTTGCTTCCATATTTTGGCAATTATGAATAAAGCTGCTGGAAACATCTGTGTGCAGGTTTTTGTGGACATAAGTTTCAACTCCTTGGGATAAATATCAAGGAGTGTGATTGCTGGATTGTATGGTAAGAGTATGTGTAGTTTGATAAGAAACTGCCAAACTGTCTTCCAAAGTAGCTGTACCATTTTGCATTCCCACCAGCAATGAATGAGAGCCCCTATTGCTCCACATTCTCACCAGCATTTGGTGTTGTCAGTGTTCTAGATTTTGGCCGTTCTAATAGGTGTGAAGTGATATCTCATTGTTGTTTTAATTTGCATTTCCCTGATGACATATGATGTGAAGCATCTTTTCATATGCTTATTTGCCATCTGTATTGCTTTTTTGGTGGTGTGTCTGTTAAAGTCTTTGGCTCATTTTCAGTCTGGCTGTTTGTTTTCTTATTGTTGAGTTTTAAGAGTTCTTTGCATATTTTGGATGACTGTCCTCTAGCAGTTGTGTCTTTTGCAAATATTTTCTCCCAGTCTGTTGCTTGTCTTCTCATTCTTTTGACATTGTCTTTCTCAGAGCAGAAGTTTTCAAGGTCCATCTTATCAATATTTTTCTTTTGTGGATGGTGCCTTTGGTGTTGTTTCTAAAAAGTCTTCACCATACCCAAGGCCATTAGGTTATCATCTAGGAGTTTTATAGTTTTGTGTTTTATGTTTAGGTTTAGGACCCATTTTGAGTTTATTTTTGTGAAAGGTGTAAGATCTATGTGTAGATTTATTTTTTGCATGTGGATGTCTGGTTGTTCCAGCACCATTTGTTGAAAAGACTCTTTGCTCCACTGTATTGAAGTTGCTTCTTTGTCAAAGGTCAGTTGACTATATTTATGGGAGTCTATTTCTGGGCTCTCTGT